ATTGTTTCCTCGGCTCGTCGCGCCGTCCCTCTCCTCCCGCTGGACACAGCAGGGCAGGGGCCGTCTGGCTGGAGTACTGTGCCAATGGGTCGGTGGCTTCCAGCGCCAAGGCTGATGGGCGTTAAGAGCTCGGTCAGCCCTAGCGTACCAAGCACTGTGCAAAGGCAGCATTCGGGGTTTTATTGAATCACGGTGCAAAACAATAAGAAAGTTGGTTTTTAACCCCTGCACATAGGGCCATGTTTTGTATGATTGTTGCGGGGACTGAGTGGAGTACTGTGCCAATGGGTCGGTGGCTTCCAGCGCCAAGGCTGATGGGCGTTAAGAGCTCGGTCAGCCCTAGCGTACCAAGCACTGTGCAAAGGCAGCATTCGGGGTTTTATTGAATCACGGTGCAAAACAATAAGAAAGTTGGTTTTTAACCCCTGCACATAGGGCCATGTTTTGTATGATTGTTGCGGGGACTGAGGAGTTGGCTGGCTGGTTTTTGAAGGACTTTGGGCCACTAGCCAGCAGCCAGTGGCTGTCCAGCATCTGCTCATTGCACTGCTTCCTGTTCAGCAGCTTGAGCCCCCTGACAGCATCCTCAGCGTCACCTGGCCCAGCAGCTTTGGCCTCCTTCCCAGCCTGTCAGCTTCTGGGCAGCAGGGACCCGTCCCCCAGACACAGATAGTGGATTGGTGGAGTCCTAACATCCCATCTCTATCCCCCACTATTACACAGCACACACCACGGCTCCTGGGTGCTGTCACTCACAAGCCCTCCAAATGTCTAGCTGCTGCACGTGCAAACACAGAAGTAAAAGCTGGCTAGCAGTTCATGAGTTGGATCATGGGTTGATCTCGGTAGGTGCAGATCTACATTTTTATATCCCTGCTGGGCTCTACTGATCTATAATTCTCTGTACTCATCTCCTTCTACTTTATTTAGGATTCATTTTTATTTGTCAAGTAATTAAAGTGCTCCTAATGGAGCTATATTGGCCTTTCACTATTCTTCCTGTTTTCCCTTTAGATATGGATAATTTGCTATTCTACCTTTAATATTGTCTCTAAGAAACTGCCATCGTTGTTGAACTCCCCTGAGATTTTCTTCCCATTGGCCCTTACCTACCAGTTCTCTGAATTTGTTGAAATCTCTTTTTTTGAAGCCCCTTGGCCTGATGTTGCTCTCACATCTTTCTTTTCTTAGAATCATGAAATCCGTCATTTCTTGATCATATTCAACCACATTTCCTTCTATCTACAGTGTCACAAAAAATTCTTCCCTGTTAGAATCCAGTTAAAATGGTTGTCCCCAAGTTAAAAAGCCTGTACTTCCACACAGTGAACAGAAGAATTGATTTTGGGGAGATTCTAACCCATAATATTTGATTCTAACCCATAATATTTGAATCACTGGTCCTTACTAAAGCAAGTAGGGTGTTATCTGATAGAAGTCTAGCTTGTTCTCCATTGGACCACCCAGCTTACAAGAGAGAATTGAGAAAAAATAATTAAATGTAATTTATTTATCAAAAAATGGAATATTCATTTTCATATGAATGTGAGTGTTTGAGGAAGCACCATGTGATTCTAGAGACCTGGACCTAAGTTCCCACATGTTTCCAGGCTTCAGATTTATCCACAATATGCAAGTGTTAACATGTTCAGGAATAAAGCAGTGGCCCTTATTCTGGCCAGCCTTAAATCAAGTCCTGACCAGTGCCGAACCAGAGAATTTGTTGAACTACAGGAGGTTAATACTGTCTAGCAGTATTACCAACACTTCCACAGCTTACTGGGCTCCTAAAAGACATTTAGGGGTAAATTAGAACTAAACAGCATAGAACAGAACCAGGGCTGGTGATGGTAAACCTCATGGGATAGTGGGAAACTTGGCTACACTCATGACAAGTGGACATCCAGCTAACTAAAATCATGCCTGATCATGGATATTGCCGGACCAAAGAGTGTCAGACTAGAGAGGTTCAACCTATAGAAGTTTTCATTTATGTCTGCTAAAGCATACAATTAAACTCTAGATGAAGCAATGTAAGCCATTTTATATAAGCTACCCACATCATGGGTAGCAGTGCCAGGGGGAGAACACACTATCGCACAACTACCACCTCTGCCCTGGAAAACATAAATAATACCTACAGTTGGCAGCTGATCCTGCAAAGTGTGGCATGCTATCAACTAAAAAGCACTTAGCAACCTGCAGGACTATAAACCCTGATTGGAGACAATCACCCAGATTCTTTGAGTCAATCTTCACAAGTGGAGTGGGCTATAGAGAGAGAGAAACTCTTTCATTCAATCTATGTAGAAATGAAGCAAAATTCTTATGATTATATATATTATATATAAATGCTGACTTAGCAGACTTCCTCCTTAATATCAGGCTTTCAAGAAAACTGCAGTAATCCTAAACAAATATTTTTCTTCAAAAAAACCATTCACCATCATATTTCAGCCACTGGCAATGTGTTTATTAACTTATACAAGCTGGCAACAAATTGAATCGGTCACCTAAGTTACATAGAAGCTGCATGTCGTTTACTTTGTAGCACTGGTGGGCCCCTACTAAACTGAAAATGTAGCCAGATACCCCATTAGAGTAAAAACAATCTGATGACTGAAAAAGGAACTGTGGAGTACTTCTCATTTATATTAGATTCAATTCCTTGTAGTAGACACATTGTAGCTTGTGTGTGTTGACACTGCATGCCTCAGTTGCATCAGATCTAATATGTAACAAAGACACTTCAAGAACGTGGAAAGGGATATTTAGAAATGCGGAGTTGGTATTGGTTTCTATAGAACCATATAGTCCCTTTTGTGAAGAATAAGGCATGGAAATGTCTAAAAATATGCAAGAGATTGTCACAATAATATGAATAACATTAGAGCTGCAAGAAAACTATCTAGCAACCCACAAGTGGCTTGAATTGAAGTCTCTTTGCAGAATGCTAATACCTAAGCATCCTGTTTTGTGAATGATCTGTAGCCATTTGCAAAAGGGGCACACTGCTTGGTATACCAGGGTATGTCTACACTACAGCGCTAATTCGAACTAACTTAGTTTGAATTAGTTAATTCGAACTAAGCTAATTTGAAATAACGCATTCCGACTAAAAAACTACTTCGAATTAGCGTTTTGCTAATTCGAACTAGCATGTACACACAGAGAGGACCCTGAACTGGGGTTAAGGATGTCCGGAAGCAGTGCCGGCAGGGCATCAGATGAGGACTTAGAGCGTGGAGCTGCTGTCTCAGGCTAGCCGAGGGCTGTGCTTAAAGAGACCTGACCCCCACCCCGGACAGACAGTTCTCAGGGGTGCCCCGCTTGCAAAGCAGTCCTGGCTTGGAGTACCCACACTGGGCACATCACAGCACTCGGCCATCAGACTGGCTGCACTTGCCGCAGGCTACCATCTGGGGAGAGGGGACAATTGGGGGGCTGCAGGAGAGGGTCCCCCCCCAGAAGGCCGCAGAGCCAGCCCAGG